CCTTCCCAGGTCCTGATACCAATAAATCGACTTGAAGGGATATAAGACTACGTTAGCCCGAGTGGATATCAATCCAGGATTCGAACATGAGATCATGGGTGCATGATGATGAATCCTTTGCCACTACACCATCTCTACCCACTTGTGTATAATACAGACAATAATAAATAAATAAAGACAAGTAATAATAGCTAAACTTAATAATTTTTCAACCGCGTCTCACTTAATTGTAAATGATTTAACAATTGTACATTGGTGAACTTGAACAGAAACATTTCACACTTCCAACTACAAAAACTAAATATTTTAAGTTGCCGATGTCACGGATTTCAACCAGGTATCGGCTACTGTAACCCAAATTGACTCTATTTCAGGTCATCTTATTTGATTTACATTATTCTCCTATGTGCCGCATCATTCGGAGCCATAGTCTTGCCATCCATCACTTTATCAATCGCTGCCACACAATTAATACCGTATTCCCGGCAATTGAAGGTTGGTCTCCATCAACTTAATGAGATACGAAGTAATGCTTGTCTTTCAGCTTGAGAATTGTCGAGAGAAAGCAAGAAGAAATGAGTTTTCAGACCATCTGTCGCTAGAACTGCAAAGTATTACAGCGAAGCCCAGTGCCCTTTGCAGAAAATTACATGGGGAAGCATGGGTACCCACATATAACGGAATGAATGTTAATGGACATGGAAAAAGTCCAGAGGATAATCGCCTGAAACAAAATGACCCTTATGAAGCACCAGCCTTTCCTGAGCTCTAACTGGGCTCAAGCGAATCCTGAGAACATCCCTTCTTGAATTTCAAAAGATTACTCTGGAAATCAGTGCCGAGTCGCTCGAAAACGCTTATTTTTTGAAGCGTCTGTCAATGAAAGGTATTCAAGACCACTGCAATTATGAGCCTATGCATAGAATTCAAAATTGTTCCGCAATTTTCACTGCCACACTACATTCCTCAGTGGATACTTTAAAATAATTCAGAGTGATGTCATCGGTGTCTGTTTGGCGCTCGCAACGGCACTTCTAGCAGCCACCGTATGTTGCTTCTCCGGTTATGCGACTTCACGATCCCTGACTAACGTTACACAATGGTAGGAACAAATTTCATAATATTAACTTTTTTAGAAAAGATAATTCTCGAAAAACAGGGCTTAAATAAGCTGCGGAATAGAAGGAGCTCATGGGATCATATGTATGTTCCCCTGGAATAACCTAGAGAATGATCTGACAATCTTTCTATTCACATATTCAACTTCCACAGCTAAAGGCACAGTTCACGATAAAAAGGGTTTCTGAGATTCCCCTATAGTTATGAATTCGAGGCTCCTCCTTACACCATAACTGCCGTTATAAAGTCGAAAAAAGTCCTGGTTAGGGCACAATAGGAGGCCAGAGATTGTATCGTATGAATACCACACCCATCGTGGACGAGTTTCAACGGCTTTGTCGAAGCTCCACTATCTCAAGAGACTCCCATGTAGGTAGTTTTAACAATTTACCAGAACCCATGACGACAGGGAAAATCAGTTTCGAACAATTTTGCTTGATGTTGCCATCTCTTTAAGCAATGGCAAGCTTTAAGCAGCAAGTTAAATCTGGTCCAAACACCCTTCCATGCCATTTTTGCCACGATGATCTCGTACAACCTTCACTACACTACTTTCAAAGAGCCTCAAGTAGGCCAGTTTTCTTGCTTTCTTCGCCACCGATGTACTCCTCTGCATCAACATTTCCACTTTTCTACCTAAAAAGTATACAACCAAATTATCGTAAACTGTGCCTTTAAGCACAATCAGTCGTTCTCCAGAGCTGAAGTCGGGACCGATCNAAAAAAAACATGAACACCTTTTGACGAAAAAAGTGGAAGCTGTTGGAGTTCGGGAGCCCAACATGAACCCAGCACTTTTGAGAAAGGACGCGGTTTGGACGAAAGCCATTTTATTTTTGATTTGACGAATAGGCAAACAAAACTTGTTTATGCACCCAGTTAGTTTGCCAGATTTTGGGTTGAAGGACCAAGCGAAATGTGAGGCTCCTTATCCCAGCCCATATACTTGATCCCTCTAGAAACGTCAACTACTCTAACCTACGATGGCTTCACAGTAAAGTACTATGTTCCAATGACGACATTGAAAGATCTACAATTGAAGCGGAATGCTGACAAGAAGGCGTCAGAATGCTTGCACTGTTTCCGACTTTTTAGAAACTTACTAAATAGAAAAGCTAAAGAAAACCCCACAAGAAAAGCTTCTTTACGGATTTTTTTCATCTTAAACATTTCAATACAGTACTGTTGTCAGAACGATCGCTACTCTACTTCCATCTCTAACATAAAAATTGGATAGTGTCTTATTTTAACAGTGTTCCAAACCTGAGTACGATACCCTAGCTTTTCCAAGACCTTTGAAGTAGACAGTGGGCCACTATCTGGATTTGGAAAGTAAATGTGAGTATGATGGTGCTCACTATGTTTCAAACTTATTGCTTTCAGGAAAACCTCACCAGCCCTCGCCAACCAGCCATCGCTATACTCCTTTGCTTTACGAGAAGTAATTGTTGCCACGTATGCTCTGCTCGCCTCTGTATTCTTTTTTGTTGCGGCTGTACAACGAAATTATGGTCTCGTAATTGCATCAGCTATTATTCAGATGTAAGTCGTATGGATAATGGAAGTGTGGAAAGTGGTGCAGTCACAGACAAACAATGTAGAATACAACGGTAATCGAATTCCGGACCTAAAGGCCCAAAACCCTAGACTTGCCTCCAGAGGCATAGTTTTCATTTTGCATTTCGACTTGCGCACCAAATTTTTTGCATGAACATGCCCTTGAATCTCTTCATGGTTCTGATTGAAAGTAGCGGATGTGGCGCATTCCGAAGAATACCTTATCGTCTACCATTCTGCTGTAAGTGGAATGACATAGTCAATAGATACATCAGATAAAATTTTGGAATGCGTCCAAGTGAATATGGGTTACGCCGTGTACGCAATTTCAACCCAAAATCCCTAGATATCCGGTTTTTCCAAGAAATTGTAACTGTTATCAACTCTGTACTTTCACCACGTAGAGAAAAAAACCAGAGAATTGTCATCATTTTACTGGATCCTGTTCTGAATCAGTGCAAGTGTGTGGGAAGACCTCTACAATCACAAAGATGGGCGAAACAAGTGACACTCTCGCATCACTCCCCGCTACTTCACCCATTTCAACTTCCTNATCAGATAAAATTTTGGAATGCGTCCAAGTGAATATGGGTTACGCCGTGTACGCAATTTCAACCCAAAATCCCTAGATATCCGATTTTCCAAGAAATTGCAACTGTTATCAACTCTGTACTTTCACCACGTAGAGAAAAAAACCAGAGAGTTGTCATCATTTTACTGGATCCTGTTCTGAATCAGTGCAAGTGTGTGGGAAGACCTCTACAATCACAAAGATGGGCGAAACAAGTGACACTCTTGCATCTCTCCCCGCAACTTCACCCATTTCAACTTCCTTTAGGATTTTTAAAAAATGAAGTAACGGAAAAGTATTAGGATTTTTAAAAAATGAAGAAACGGAAAAGCATTAAAAAAAGCTGAATTTCAGAATTTGTCTGGTTGCCCTTAGTCAGCTGCTTAGCCCAACTCGTCTTACTGCTGTACTAGTCAACTCCCGTGTTCTTGCCATTGACAACAGCTCATATCCTGTTGCCCAAGTCAAGTACGTTTATTCATTCATCCAGCAATCAATTCCTATATAGCTCGCGTATTCCCCCACTTTCCCAAACGACATCATGACAGGTAGTTAGGGGATACCAGTCACTTTAGTGCTCAACGCGTTGCGTAGTTCCTGCCAAATTTCATTCCCTTAATTGATTTGGATTGACGCCATGTTCAAGTCCCATCTCCAAGCGTCAGCCAATCCCATTTCAGTCACTTTTATCTAAACATAACCATCCTCGCTCAGCACGCATGTACAGAATACTTTTAAGAACACCGATCATCTTACAGTAAGTTCGACTCGAGTGGAGGTGGTGTAGTGGCTAAAGCGCACACTATCACCCGCACGTTCACGGATCAAGTCCTGCATCAGCGCCGCTCGGGTCAAAAAAAAACTTTCACACTGGGTCCGTTATTCGACACCAGACTCGTCTGGGAGGATAAATGCAATGACTTGCACATTGACAAGTTCTGGTAAAGACTACATACGCATTCGAGACGCCACTAAGATTCTTAAGGCAGTCGAATTCAGGGCGCATCCCAACGGATTGATTGAAACTGAACGAATTTATCCTTTATATTTTGGTTAGAATTTTTGACCCTACATAGAGTCCTGGAGTCCTTTCTGGAGTCAACCCTCATAAAACGACTACTTACTCACTGTCACACCTACTTATTCTTCCTTAGCGATCCTAGAAAAGGATCAAATCCAACACAAGGCTTTAATCAACTTAAGCTTTTCATAATTTTCAGTTACAATGGCATTCAAAGAGAAAAAATTTGATTTTGAGAACAAATCTAACTGTATGATGCTTTTCTTACCTCTCTTTCAGCGTTGTACTCCTGTACGCTTTCATCGTCACGCTTCTATTTGTGATCTCAGTGCAGTTTATTGTCACAGTAATCTCGCTTCGAAGTCATTCCACGACCAACACCTCCACATCACATAATATTTATCCTCAGCAAAGAACAAGTTTTTGAGGAAAGTATATATGTATATCCTATAAATATAATATTTGAGAATGAAGTTTATTTTTTGGATAATGAGACATGTTTGAAGCACACGGTTTACAACAAGCAATCTTACCTAAAATCGGCGTTTAACCGCCAAGAACGTACAGGGGGTTAGATGGCGATTGTAGGTAACATTGCATAACAGTTTTTGAAGTCTTTAAGTAAACATGGAATCAGTTGCTACAGGCAGAGTCTCATAGCGAAATGAACTCCTGAAACACACACTCATCGTCCCTAAGCTGGGATACTCACTGTTTCTTAGCTAAGATCTCATCGGCCTAACAATAAGGCATCAACTGTGTTAGAAAGGTCCAAAGCAGTCCGACTTCCATGGCCGTATTCTACACTTTGCGGAAAAGGCGTACGCATCTTAAACATCGGCGTATCCTTCCTAGAAGCCAGAAGTACTTGCCAGATGCAAAGATTCAATCGCTCTGCATACTTAAGGAAACATGACTTTTACACTTTCCATTACAACAGAAAAATCGGCAAATGGCAGCATTGACACCACTGGGACAAACGTCTTCCCACAGCCCTAACTCCTCATCGTCGAACAGAGTTGAGCCTTATAGACCCTAATCCAGGATCAATGCTGAAAATATTGTGCATGGGACTCCTTCTCCATCCCATTAGACAACGACCAAGAGAATGCTTTGGTATTTTCGAAGGAATTCCACGGAACGAGGCTGGAAATTCACTTAGCTATAACGGTCGGGTGGTATAACCTCATTACCAGTAAGCACAGAGGGTTCCCGAAAACTTCATCTCGATAACCACTCAGAACCGTGCTTATTCTGACTTGTAAGAGAATTATCCAGCCGAAAATCGTCCTACATCCACATTTTCCCAATGACGTATGAAAAATTCTCGAAGAAATAAGTAGGAATGAAATCGTTGTTGTGCTATGCACTCGTCAACGTACTAAAGAGAGAAGTTCGGAAACTACTGCCCGGACATCGCGTCATACTCGCCGCATGCGATCGCCCACTACAAGGGGTAAGGTTTGAATTCTCAGTGGAAGGATACGGTAGCCGCCATGAAACCACATTGCTGCCTGGTGGGAATTCGGGGAGAAGTTCCGCCACCCGAGAAAGAATGAGGCTGCAGAAGGAAGAAAATATAACCAAAAGAAAAAGTGGTGCTTACCACTTATAACAGCTCGATATCGTTTTATGATAAACTTTTATCAACGTTGATATTTGTGCAACTCGGAAGATAAATACAAATTATTGATTAAAACTCTACTTCATCAATGTCTAATCTACGAGAAATGTGAGAAGTGCATAGTAGAATAACTATTCAACCGGATCATCCCATTTTCCTATTAATGTCTATCGAAAATCAAAATGTTATTGTCCGCTCGTAAAGCTTTTTTTTAAGAATTAATTAAGCTAGAAAATCGAATCTTTTCCATGTTGCTAACTGCTTGACTAGCAACTAAGAAGTGTGATCCAAGAATCTTTTACCTACAACGGGGGCAGCTCTATAGCGAGCTAGGTGACTGACACTGAGGTAACTCTTACCGAATAACCCTCAACAGTTACACACCTAACGTATTCACAGGAATAGAATGAATTCTCAAAAGAAAAAAAGAATGTCAGTAAAACAACGCATCGCAGATCAAGAGAATTTTTGATGTGCACACTAGGCACTTCTAATTATTATGCGAATTATTCACAAATTATGTATATTTTAAAATTATGTATAGATATTAAAACGCACAAGTTATAAACAGACCAGATGAAAATGCGTAAGGAAATAAAACGACTGAGACTCAACTGAAAAAAA